AAAAAAAAAAAAAAAAAATAGGAAGACATCAGTATCAACCCCCGGTTTCCAACACACACACACACACACACACACACACACACATACACACACACACACACACACACAAACAAACACACACACACTTCTGAGGCATGATGGGATGTTGCTGCACTCACCCACACTTTTAGTAAATACCTGTGTGCCTGTGAGATAAGTGGCATGCGAGATCTGGCTGGTGCAAAGACACAGCAGCCTGGACCGTGAGGAACTCACAGTCCTAGAGGGGTCCAATAAGGATGTCTCATTTAGAAAAGAAAGCCTTATTCCAATTACAATGACCAGAGCACAGGCCTGCAAAGCCCATAGGCAGCGAAGACCTTAGGTAAGGCTGGAGCCAGTCAGGACTGTCCCCAGGGACTAGCTCCCCTCGGCACCTTGCTCCTTCCCCCTACTCTGCTTTACCCTAAAGGTGACTAATGTAGCAGTTCCCGAATTTTTGGTAAAGCACCTGAAATTCACTGTTTGGAATACTTGGGTCACATTCTCATCCCTCAATCAGTCATTCCCACACACGAGCTGGAAAGAACAGATGAGCTTAGCCAAGATAATCCCCTCCAAACATAGCTCCCATATCCACAGACATGACGGGTTCCCTAGAGCCCAGACTTCTGGGGACAGGAGAGCCACAAACCCTGGCTGAACACAGGGCAGCCAAACAGTGCCCTCATGTAATCTGCCTCTTACCACACGGCTCCGCCAGGCAATTTCCTGTACACACACACACACACACACACACACACACACACACACACACACACAGCTTTATAACTTAGGAGTGACAGTCAAACCTGCATTTGTGGCTATCTCTGTAATAGGGCAAGTCCAGGAGGTCATGACGGCTTTTCTAAGCCTAAAGTCCTAAAATTCTGTATCATTATAGACAACCATAATTGATACTTTTGAACATCTCTGGGAGAAAATGCATAATCCATGACCAGACCAGAATATACTGAGAAAATAATTTATTCAATTGTAAACCAGAATTTTTATTTTAAAAATGTTTAAAACATTACCTTTAATAACATTCTAAATTTACTCATTAAGGGCTTAAATTTAGATGAATTTTTAAAAATCATGAAATTCCCTCAAAATTTCTTCAGCCTTTTGCTATACTTTCAGAATAGATCATTTCTTTGGTTCAGGACTTCACACACCAAACCCTCCCTCTTCTGGATCCAGCACAACCTGAACGACAGGGAGGTAGGGTTCTTAGCCAGTGTGCGGTCTCCACTGCCTTTTGCAAAGCCCACTCATTCAGGAAATTTGTGAGGTTTTTTGTTGCTGCTGGGTACATGACTTTTTTTTTAACAACTGAAGAGTAAGAGGTGGTGTAATGTGGACAAAATGTAAGATGGCTTTTTATTGAAGCCCTTCACACTGTACGTTGAGAGTGCAACGACTTTTTAAATAAATTGCTTGAGAATGGAAACAGATGGCACAACTGGAAGACAAGAAAAATAAATATGCACATATGGAAATATGAATATATGCATACATGGAAATATGAGCCAACAACCCCCTCACACCGATTTGCTTACGTTACCATATAGAGCAGTGGTTCTCAACCTTCCTAATGCTGCCACCCTCTAATATAGTTCCTGCTGGGGGATGTCTTTCTGTATGCTGTGGTATATGTTGTTCCCATTGGTTAATAAATAAGCTGCTTTGGCCTATGGTAAGGCAGCTTAGAGGCAGGCGGGAAATCCAAGGAGAGAGACAGGAAAGAGAAAGGCGGAGTGGGAGAGACGCCAGCCTGCTGCCCAAGGATCAACATGCCAGCAGACCGGTAACGCCACAGAATACGTGGCAAAACACAGATTAATAGAAATGGTTAATTTAAGATATAAGAGCCAGCTAGCAGGAGGCCTGCCATAGGCCATACAGTTTGTAAATAATATTAAGCCTCTGAGTGATTATTTTATAAGCAGCTGCAGGACTGTGGGACCAGGTGGGACCAGAGAAACTTTCGACTACAAGTTCCTCATGTTCTGGTGGCCCAACCATAAAATTATTCATTGGTACTTCAAAATTATAAATTTTGCTGTTATAAATCAAAATATAAATATCTGATATGCAACCATTGTAAGGGTCGCGGCCCACAGCTTGAGAACCACTTATAGAGACGTTAAGCTTCTCTCAGAGAAGGGAACTGAACGTTTAGCAGCTCAGTTATGGTGACTGGGTCTCCTATTGCTGTAGTCAGTTACCCATGTTGTCCAGTACATCTGTCTGGCTATCACACTTGTGTAGTGTAGACAGAGCAGGGGAAACAAGGTCACATGATGGAGGGCTTTCTCTTCACGTCAGCCCTCCAGACTGGAACGTGATGGGCTGAGGAACCTTGAGGTTCAGAGTGGGTGGTTAGGACCAGATGATGACCGAGTGTCTTCCGGCGGAAATCGGGTCTTCTCCTTCCATAATGCAACCCACTCACTTTCTATTCCATTCCTGCTATTAGTCATTGTCAAGAACGCTGCCTGTATTTGCACCTCAATTCAAGCACCAACCCCATGCCATGTCTCTCCAGCATAGCACAGTCTCTGAGTGGTCAGCCCCATATTTACTGGGACTCTGGACATGTGCCACCATGACACCCATCAGCGCTCTCTACCTTCTTCGTGCACAGAAGCCAGACAATAGCTTAATGGGGTCTGGGCTGCCAATGGCCTGATGCCATCAGCTGTAAAAAGTCTTTGAGGACCATGCTGGTGTCCTTATGCAGTTCTCTTCTGCAAAGTCTCTCTGTGTTGCTTTAGAATCCCCACGACTAGGAAGGCAATGAACCAAGGGGACAGCGGCCCCCACTCCGATCTAGCCCATTTTGTTGCCAAACATTTCTCTTAGCACCCTGTTCTCCAATAGGCTATCTGGCATACTAGGTAGAACGTTCTGGCTTTTTCTTTACCTATGGCAAATCAATTTTGATTTCATCTTATACAGTATTTCCCCCAAACCCAGAATATATAAGAAATCACTGAGAATTTACATCTGATTACTTACCATAGACTCTTTTTCACATATTACAAGGCTCAAAGTTGTAAGGAGAAATAGTATGTGCTTGCCATGTTGGTGGGTTTTGGTTTTGATTTTCAAGTTAAAAATTAACTGTTACTACTTTTTTGAGGAATTAGCCAGAATAATTCTGTCAAATTTAGAAATCTACCAGCACAATTTGAAGTCAGACATTACTTCTAACCAAATTATACTCCTTTGTCTGCCAAGCAATTTTGACATTTTTAATCTCTGATGGCAAGCCTATCTGATAGTCCCAACAGTACTCTGGGGATAGGACTTTAGTGGGCTTGTTGAAAAGGAAGTATTTGTTGAGGTGGCTTTCATCGTGCCACTCGGCTTCTATGTTGTTTTCCTTGTCCTGGAGGATTCCCTCAAAGCACTCCCGGGTGAGGTTGAGAATGCGAATGGGTGTTCCTCCAAAAATGGCTGCATGGTAATAAAAATCCCCCTGTCCAAATGGGATGTACGCCGCCGACAGCTCCCGCCTCTCATAAGTAAACTCGTCATGATCGGCCTTGTACCACCAGGCCTGGAGCTGAGCTACCAACTGACCCAGAGTCTCCACACCAAAGTTGTCTTGAAAGACCTGATCCACGTCCATGCAGAAGAGGAAGTCGACTTCGTGCTGTATGTGGGCCAGGATGTGCTCCCCGATGGTCTTCATGCGCATCATGCTGATGTCTTGCCATCTCTTCTCAGATTTGATCTCAAACACTTGTAAGGAATGCAGAGGACTCAGCTGTATAAAAGGCATTCTGGAGGTATCGTCCATCATGACGTAAAATATGACCCTGTGGCCAACCATGAAGTGCCTGTTAGCAGACTCCAGAAAATCTTCCAAGTAATGCTCAATGTACCTGAAACAGAGAGGGACATATTTAACCGCACAGAGTGCTATGACACTCTGATGGTCTGTATTTTGCGTTTAGGAGGGGAATGACTTCTCCACACACCGGTTATGTGTTCTCGTGTAGAGGACACATGTTTGTACAGCCCCCTGGCGATTCCCCACCAGCTGGTCTCCCAGTCCTTGAGGAAAGTGGAGCAACTTCTCTGCCAACTTTGTAAGAACGCCTGGGCAGGCACAGCCCTGTCCTCGGGCTCTTGGAGGCCAGCCAGTCTGAGAGTGTGCTCTCAACTACTCCGCTTTGCACTAAGCTCCATGCTAAGGCTCTGTTCTCCTAGAACATTTAGAAGCCTGCTGTCAAAGAAAGTGCAGCTCTTGAATAGCCTGCAATGGCCAATGTTGCTACTCCCAGGCCAAACACCAAGTATGTTTGTTGCTCAAGTTCACTGAGGATTCATAACATGCTTATCTTCTCTGTGTTAAGTCTAGCCACCAGCACTGTCCCATCCCGCTCTGTGATACAGGGGATAGTGCGTAGAATGTAGATCTACTCCCACCTTGCATGGTCATTCTACAAACCTCCCATTGGTTGCCCCAAATGCCAGGGTATCATCCAGACAAATATGACACTATGAATCCATCCAAATACTTGAACAGTCTCTGATTTCACCTCCTTTTAACTTTTTACTTTTTTTTTTTTGAGACAGGTTGTCATGTATACCAGGCTAGCCTCAAGCTCACTATGCAGCCAAGGATGGCCTTGAACTTCTCATAGTCCTGCTAGGATTACGTGTGTCACGGCATCTGCAGTGTCTGGGATTAAATCCAGAGCTTCACGTACATCATGCAGTCAACCATCTAAGCTACAGTCTGGCTGTGCTTTAACACTTTTGTCTTTTTAAAAAAGCATTCTTGAGAACAATTTTGAATTCTGAGCAAAACTGAGCTGAAAGTATTGGGAGTGTCCATATCCCTCCTGCCTAGACAGCCTTTCCTGCTAGGACCACCCACGCGCCAGGTATCAGGTCTGTGGCGGCTGTCACTTCCACACCGATGCATAGTTTATGCTAAGGTTCACTTTGGGAAATGCGCAATACCGCTGTGGTATCATTCAGAATAGTTTCACTGCCTGAAGAACCTTCTAGGCTCTTCTTTTTCCCTTCTCTCTCCCCCAGCTCCTCAGTCACCAGTTCTGTTCCTGACACTACAGTTTTGCCTCTTCCAGAATCAGGTCAGAATGGACCCGTCCTGGGGTTATGTTGCTCTGGTGGGACACCAAGACCAAAAGCAAGTTCAGAAGGAAATAATTATTAGGCTGACACCTTCACATCGTAGCCCACAGAAGCCAGGACAGGAACTCAAGCAGGGCAGGAACCTGGAGGCAGGAGCTGGTGCAGAGGCCATGGAGGGGGGCTGCTTACTGGCTTGCTCCCCATGGCTTGCTCTGCCTGCTTTCTTATAGAACCCAGGACCACCAGCCCAGGGGTGGCACCACCCACAGTGTGCTGGGCCCTCTCCCATGGACCACTAATTAAGAAAATGCTCTACAGCTGGATCTGAGGAAGCATCTTCTCAACTGGGGCTCCTCCTCTTTGGCGACTCCAGCTGTGACAGGGACCAACAGTACCAGCACAGGAGCCTTTCCAGATGGGGTTCTTAGTGACAAGTGACAAAAATTTCTCCTTGCTTTCTGTGGCTTCATAGCTCACCTTTTAGCACTGAATAATATCCTATTGTCTGAAGTGACCACAGTTCATTTTTACACTGACCTCTCAAAGGAAAACTTCTTTGCTTCCAAGTTTTAGCAATTATGAATAAAGCTCCCAAAAATATCTATGTCGGTATTTGTGGAGGCATGTTTTCAGCTCACTCGGGTCAGTACCAAGGAATTTGATCGCTGGATTATGATAAGAGTGTGTTCAGTTTTGCAAGCAACTGCCAACATTTCCTCCCAGTGGCTGCCCTGTTTTGTGTCCCACTAGCAATAAACAATGGTTCCGATTCCTTCACATCTTTTCCAACATTCGGAATTGTCGGGGTTTTTCCATTCTAATAAATGAGACATGGCAATTTGACTATTCACTCATTTGAATGACATTATAGGGATGATCCTACAAGCTCAAGCTACTTCCCAAGTCACACCAAGGAGACCGCAGAGATGCGAGGCGTCACATGGGCCTTTTCCAAACCTCGAACTTACACACAGAGAATACGGACCACAGTTAGTTACTGAGCACACGACTAGCCAATCACAATGCTCTGAATGCAGTAATGACTGGTGTTTTCTGTTTTGTTTTGTTTTGTTTTTCTTGATTCTTGGGTTGCTCTTTGCCATTGAAACAAACTGCACTTTTACTGTTGGCATTGGGAAGCCCCAGGGTTTCTAGGACTGGTTCTTTACATGAGGCAAACACAGCTCAGTGGTAAGAGAGGGCTCTGACATGACCCCACGCCTGGGGGTCAGGACAGACTTCTGTACTCTGATCTTTAAGAAAAACCAGTGTGCCCTGAAGCTTGGGAAACAAAACTTGGGGAGGGGGGGGTGGAGTCACTGTGACACCCAATGATGTTTAAGAGGTTAAAATACCACAGTTAGCTCCAGGCACTGAAACAAAAACAAAGCAAATCTCACACCTCCCTGAAGGCCCGGATGCGTTTCCTCTGTGATTCACTGTTGCAGACTTTCCTAGATGGGAGCACAGCTTTCCTAGATGGGAGCACAGCTTTCCTAGCAGGGAGCACAGCTTTCCTAGCTGGGAGCACAGCTTTCCCCAGGAGGTGGGAGCACAGCTTTCC